GTCATATTGTTTCACCCACAATTTTGTATCTTCTGTTGTAATTATGTAGGTGGGCAGCTGGGTCTATTCCTGCTATGAGATGATGACATCCAGTAGGACAAGGGCCATCTTATCCTTTTGAACATCCCTATAGCCCCCTGCCCTACACTTCAAATAGGCTTTCAAGAAACATTTGTAGTGTTGCTAGGTATTTAATTTTTAAGATGTATCAGTGTAAGAATACCCAATCCTGTAGAGGATTTTTATAATAACTTATTTGAGCCAAACAGAGGATATTTGGCAACAAGATCACACACTGAGAAAAAATGCTTCAGAGAGCAGTTTGCAGTTTCTTTTACGTATTTGAGATTAAGGAGACAACTGTAAGGAAGATTACAGGAAGGTGGGAGAAAGCAAGGCTGGGATTGGATTACAGGGAAATTAAGATTATGTATTCTCTGGGGGGTGGTCACCTTTAGAAAGGAATCTGAAAGGAAGCATTTCAAAGGTGTGTTAACCTAGAGGCACAGAAACAATGGGCCGGACTTGCTTGAGGCAAAAATGAGGTTTAAAGAAGTTATATGCCTGGGGCCTCACGACCCACAATGACCTGCCCACTTAGGAATTTATTATCAGATCATTTTAGAGATTACTTTCCGTAGAATCTTTTTTTCATTCACAAAAGATACCTCAACATCCTCTTGTTGCTAACGTTTCTTTCTTAAAAAAAAAGATTTTATTTATTTATTTTTGGAGAGAGGGGAAAGAAGGGACAAAGAGAGCGAGAGAAACATTGATCATTTGCCTCTTTGATATCCCCAACCAGGGGCCCACAAACCCAGTGTGCCCTGACCAGGAATCCAACTGGTGACTTTTCCGTTTGTGAGATGATGCACAGCCAACTGAGCCGCACCAGTCGGAGCTTGTTAATGTTTCTTAATCATGAAACAGAGAGCTGGAGGTTTTCAAAACCACCTGAAATATACTTCCCATCACAGTCTTTGGTCACTTTGATCATTCCTGTTGATTAGGTCAACCTCTTCCTTCTTGAGGTAGCTCTTGACTTTGGTGAAGGCTTTCAATAGCAAATAATACAGACTCAGATGTTAAGTATACCATTTAATAATAAAAAAAAAATGCTCATTCTTCAGTGAGGTAGGAAAACGCAGGATTATTTTTTAAAAATATTTTATTTATTTATTTTTAGACAGAGGAGAAGGGAGGGAGAAAGAGGGAGAGAAACATCAGTGAGTGGTTGCCTCTTGCACACCCCTTACTGGGAGTCTGTCCTGCAACCGAGGCACCTGCTGGCACTCAATCCACTGAGCCACACCAGCCAGGGCCTCTCCCTTCCTCCCTTCCTCCCTTCCCTTCTTTCTTCTCTTTCTTCTTTTTCTTTTTTAAATATAAGACCTTGGCAGGGCCTCTGGCTGATAAGAAGACGGCATTTGAGAGATTAGAGGAAAAGCTTTGAAATTGAGTGTGCCTAAGCTTATCAAGTGAATGGCTCCTACTAACTAGATAGTCAAGAGTAAGGGGATTTATTTTCAAAATAGGAACAGGCTATTAAGAGTCAATAGATGGAGTGCCCTCCCTCTCGGAAGCAGGTCTGCACATTTCCCTTCCCCTCCTGGTCCCCCCAGGTGCCTCACCTCTGCCTTTCTCTCTCCTAAACTCCAAGGACCCTTCTTCTACTGCTATTAAGCTTTTTTCCTGAGCCTACGCAGCCCAACTGACTCACTTCTACTACCTCTGTAACTTTCTAAATAAACTTTCTATTATAATTTGAAAAAAAGAAAGAAAGAAAGGAGAGTCAATAGAACCCAAGTTTATTTTCTTCACTTGTACCACCCACTATTTTGAGGCTGTTCTCTTTGGAGAACAAAGTGTGACTTACTGCCAGGTGTTTCTATAGAAGCACCTCAAGGTTGCTTGATAAGTTACACACTCTACCACAACCACTCCCAAAACCAATAAAACAGGCCTGAACCCATTCTTGACTTGTAAGTAGCTATAATTTCACAAAACAAAAGTGCGAAAAGTGAAAGTAGATAGAGACCAAGATTTCAACCCATGATTGTGTTGACTGGGTGTGCAAATGTTTACAAAGCTGGGTTTTCAATTCCACTAAATATACAGAAACTTTGAAAAGATTTAGAGCAGAGACAATCAAATCTAAATACGTGATTACATCTGCCAAAACCTAAAAAATTAGGGATAGAAAATGCTGACTTTATTTTCCATATAGCTTGATAAAAGATTTTTAGATAAGTTAATATTTCCAAAATTAAAGCAGCTATAATTATCTAAACTCATTGCATCAAATAAATGGCTAGGATATTCTGTGAGTCTATCATGTAACTTGGAAAACTTATTTTTTGTCATTTTAAGAATGCTTTAAAGAGGGACCAATATTTCTTTTCTACATGAATTTTGTTCATGTTAGTAGCTTTTAATCTTTTTGTTTTAAAAGAGTGACATCTTGAAATTAAATGGGTAGATATTTATGTCCTAAGTACAATGCAGATAAATATCTTTGAAAGGTAAAATCCTTATTAAGTAAAATGAATTTTTAAAGTTATGAACCATTTAAATAAACTTTCACTTAATTGTCTTTTCATTTGTTTAATCAATGACATTTTTAAAATACATATATCACATTGCAATAGTTTCAATTTTAAGCTATGCATTCTAAGTTATTTATATTTTAATGTAAGTAACTATCCTTTTAGCAACTGAGACTGGAAATGAGAGGACATTTTTCACAAATAATCAAGTTGTATAGGATCTGCAAGCTCAAAAGAAACATTTGTGCAAGTGAAAAATGACATAGTATAATTTATTGCAGCCCAACTTCTACTTGCCTTGGGAAACTTGTAGGCTTTATCTCCGTATTTGTGACTGTCACATCCAGCTTTTACAGAAAAAATAATTTTTGGAGACAAATCACCCAGCTCACTTTTTCACAATGTCCTGGTGGATTGTAAATATGATTTTCTCTGCTGACTAGCTGTAGAAATGACATGCAGTTAAGTGATTTATTTAAGGTCTTCACAAATGTGATGTGAGAAAATATAAATGAAATTGGAACCAAAGATGTTGGATATGATCTTGATATTTGATATTTGCCTTCTTTGCAAGTATTTCCCAGCTATTGGTTTGCTTTCATGCATTATGTAAAAGCAACTGTACAACTGCAGGGTGTGTGTTATCAACTGGCTTGCAAGGAAGGAGATTTAAGCCCAAGATTGCAGCACCAGGTCATGTGAAGTGACTAAGGCTATGATTTTAGGTGCCTTGAAGTCTGGCTAGTGATTCACCATCTAGAGCTCCTAAAAATATATGATGTAACCCAAAAACATCAGGTGAGAGATAGATGCTAAAGGCCTGCAAAATGACATATTCTTTGAACATCACTCCTCTGTGGGAGGACTGTGGTGCACCGTGCTACTTAAGAGGCAGGTATCATCAGCATCCCCTGGGAGCTAGTTAGAAATACAGAATCTGTAGAAGTGACCTGCGAGGAGTCAGATTCCCTGTGTGAAGAAGTTTGAAATGTCATTCAGTGTTTAGTGCTCAGGTATGTAGTAAGTACTGTAGTGGGTTTTTTTCTTTTTGTTTGTTTGTTTGTTTTGGCGGAGGGAGGTGGTGGGGAGGTAAATGTGTAGCTATTTTAAAATATTTTGACATAATTTCACTTTTTTTGCATTTTTATCTGATGGCATTGTTTCTTATACTAAACCATTTTTCTGACTGAAAAACAAAGCAATACAGAATCTCAGTATCAGAATCAGAAACTGCACTTTAACAAGAACCCCCGACAACACCTTCAAGTAATTAAAGGATAACAAACTTTGAGAGGCACTGATCTAGCCCTAGATTCTAGAGCATCCCATAATTTTATTTGATTTCTGTAAACTATCCCACGACCCATGACACCTCTTTCCCTCTCTCTTCTACCCACTTCTCTTTTGTTTTATGCATGCCCTCCTCCTCCGCCTCTTCCTCCTTCTCCTCCCTTTCTTCTTCCTCTCCCACCTCTTCTTCTTCCTCTTTCTCTCTGTGTCTTTCTCCACATGCACACACACATACACAGATTATTATTTCTCCAAATCATTTGTAAGAAGTCTGTATCCATCGTACCCTGCACACACACACACACACACACACACACACACTTTTTATGTGGGGTAGCAGAGGATCACACAGTATTTTCTCAAACTTGTGATTTCATTTTTATGATTTCGGATATTATTTATATTGTTTATTTAATAAGATTCAAAGTTCGCCATATTAAAGAGCTGCACTTGTTCATAAATTCCACTCATAGAGTTTTGTTTCATTTTTTCTTTTATGCCTGCTTAAATACTCCATAACCTTTGGGAATAAATGGCCACATTTTAGCTTTCATTCTAGGCATCTGTGTGTAATTTTTTGACATGTCTGAAGGGAAAACTGATGAGGACTAACCACCATTTGGATTTGAGTATGGTATTTTTTTCTCCCAGATTTATTGGGATATAATTTACATATAACACTATTTAAGTTTAAGGTGTTCGATGTGTTGATTTGATACATTTGTGTATTGCAAAATGATTACCACCAAAGCATTAGCTAACACTTCCACCCCATCACATAATTACCATTTCTTTCTTATGGTGAGAACATTAAAGATTTACTTTCTTAGCAATTTTCCTTTTTAAAAAAAAAAGTTTTTAAATGACCTTTTAAACAGATAGGAAAAATAACCTTGAGGTACATTGTTTTCAGTTTCAAAGGAGGTCTAGAAAAAGCCTTGGGTACACGTGTTCCATCATCTGGAATTTTTCCACCTTCAAAGAGACCCAAAGTATCCAAATTCTCTTATCTATTTGAAAATACTAGATGGTATCCCCAGAGGAGTTTTAAAAGCATGCCTGAAGGTATCATCAAAGCTAAGATTAAATTTAAACTTATATACGTGCCATATACACTGTGCAAAAATATCACAAAGATACTCAAAGGAAATACTGTTCTGTTTCAGCAGTGGCTCCAGAAATAATCCAAAGAGGAGTTTTACACAATCTATTTTCTGAGTTTTACAGAGACTTTACCCTTCTGTGTTAGCCTCTTCACCTTCTGTGTTAGCACTGTGTCAACCTTAAAAGGGCACAGAAAAGGGCGTCTTAGCAACTTCCAGGGACAGTTATACCTTGGTACTCACTGGCTTCAGAACTCGTCAAACCCTGTACTCGTCGCATGTTGATGAGAAAAAAAGTGTTTCAGCACTAGGTGCTTGCTCAGGACTGGTCGCTGCACTTGCTAGAACTTGTATGAGTCATGATGCTGACCAGCAAGAGAAAGCCTTGGGTACACGTGTTCCATCGTCTGGATTTTCAGATGATGGAGCTTCATCTTCAGGTGAGGTGGAGGGAAGGGAGAAAGTCTACTGCACTGATAAAAGAAATGTGAGGTAAAGGGGTTGAAGTTCAAAACTTTGTGGAAAAACATCACCCAGACAATACTCTCACAAGCCCACATGTGGACATGTTTAATGAAGAATGTCACACTGCAGAAGCGTTTTGAAACACAGACAGAAACAAGTTTCTCTTGATAGGTTTTTAGTGAAACTCTCTAAATCTGAGTCTCCAACAGTGTTCAGTGAAGCCAAGAGACAGAAAAAAGAAGAAATCCCTGAGAAATCGTCTGAAACTGGCTTGGAAGAGGACTCCTCTTCCAGCGATTAACCCCTCTCCTCCTCCTCCTCCTCCTCCTCTACCTCGCCACCATCTCATTGTGTCAGGAACCCCTCTCAGTACAGATAAAGTGAAGTTAAATTTTATTTTATTTTTATATAATTAATTGCTTTTTAATCCATGTCTGTTTGGTTTTAAGGTTCCGTAATACAAAACAACCTCATTACAAAATATTAGCCCAGTAAAGTGTGAAAGTTTGGGGAATTTTCACAAATTATTTCTGATTACATTATTTCTTATGGGAAAATTTGTTGTGTACTTGTTGGTTTCAACACTTTTTCATGAGTTCCGGAACAAATTAACAATGAGTCCCAAGGTCCCACTCTATGTAATATTAGCTGTAATCACCATGCTGTACATTGGGTCCCCATGGACATTAGACCTTATAACCATGCCCTTTGACCCGTATCTCTGCACTTCCCTCACCCTCCAGGCCCCCCTAATCACTACTCTAATCTCCATTTCTACGAGTTCAAGTGCCTCCTACACTTAATAGTTCAGTGTATATTTCCTAAGAGCAAAGATCTTCTTTTATGTAATCACGATATAGTTATCACATTCAGAAACTTCACATTGATATGTATGTAATATCTAACCTACAGCCCATATTCAACTTCCAGCATTTGTCTCAAGATGTCCTTTCTAGTAATTTTTTTTTCTGATGTAGGATCCAGTCTAGGAGCACATGTTATGTTTAATTGTCATGTCTTTTTAGTCGCCTTTAATTGGAACACCTTCTCAGTTTTTCTCTGCCTTACAACAACAGCAACAAAAAAATGGAGTGACATTTTTGAAGAGTATAGGCTAATCTTTTTTCTTCATTCTTAGATTCAGATTATGTATATTTATATATATTTTCCTAGTTTTTATCATATGTTTTACTCTAATTGTTTTTAAATAAGCTTAGGTTCTCAATTTTAATATAGTCAAATTCATTAATAGTTTCTTGCATGTTGAGTACTTTTGTTTTCTTATTTTTTTACTTATACAGCAACATACATTTTATTTATTTATTTATTTTTGAAATCCTCACCTGAGGATATGTTTGGTAGTGGGGCGTGGGCGGGGGGGGGGGAAGGTATAGCAGAGAAAGAGAGAGAGAGAGAGAGAGAGAGAGAGAGAAACATCAATGGGAGAAAGAAACACGTATCTGTTGCCTGTGGTACAAGCCCTGGCCAGGGATCAAACCTCTAACCTAGGTATGTGCCTTGACCATGGATCAAACACACAAAGTTTTTACATAGGAGAAGAAGCCACAACCAACTGAGCCACTCAGCTAGGGTATATTTTATTTATTTTTTTAATTGAAATGTTTGGGGTGAAATTGGTTTATAAAACCATACAGGTCTTAAGTGTACAATGAAATAAAAAGTCATCTGCACACTATATTGTGTACCTGTCATCCCAAGCAAATTTCCTTTCCATCCTCTTTTTCCCCTCTTTGCCCATCTCCACCTATCCCCTACCCTCCTTTCCCTCTGGCGATCACCACACTGTTGTCTGTCTGTGTGCTGTGTATATATGTTTTTTTGGCTAATCCCTTCACCTTCTTTATCCAGTTTCCCAGTCTCCTTCCCTCTGACAGCTGGCAGTCTGTTCCATGTGTCCATGCCTTTGTTTCTGTTTTGTTTGTTAATTTATTTTGTTTATTAAATAAAACTGCATCCTGAGGACATAAAGATTCTATCCTATATTTTCTTCTAATGCTTATAAAATTTTGCTTTCGCATTTAAGTTCTTTGTCTCTGTGGCATTTATTTAGTGTATGATGAAGGAGGAATTCAACTACATAAGTCACATTTACAAAATTGTATAAATCAGAATTTATTTGCCAATAACATACTATATTCCTTAAGAAGAAAGAGATGTAATATAGTGAATTATGTGCATTCAAAAGTCTTGGGAACATTGGAGAAATAGGCTCTAGACTGGGCTTCAAAGAATGATTCTCAACAAACCAATGTGTTAATGTTGAAATGGCTCTAGATGTTAGACCTTGGTCCTTGAGTTTTGGCTAAAAATAATTCAGAGTCAAGACTCAAATACTAGCAAAAGTTCATTTAGAAAGTCACAGAGGGAGAAGAAGTGAGTCAGATGGTCTGTGTGAGATCAAGAAACAAGTTACAAAGGCAAAAGCAGAGCCCTTGGAGTTTAGGAGAAAGTAAGCAAAGGTATGTGCTTTGAGGGAAGAAATGGGGAGGAAAGGCGTAGGTGTGGGAGGGAGAGAGAGAGAGCACATGCCCAAAGCTTGGGAGTGCTTGGGAGAGAGAGAGAGACCTAGATCATATATTTTTGACTTGAATACTCCATGTGTTATTGTGCCCTTATGCCCTTGTTTTTTCTAAACTACAATTGGTGAATTTTAGAAGGCTCATGCAAGAAATGTTTTGATAGGATCGATGCTAAGGACTCAGTATACAAATTTCAAATTCTCAACTCCAATAAACTATGAAGTAAACTATGTTTATACCCAGGTTGGAATAGCCAAGAAGCTCTCTGCAACAGTCAACATAGTCTGCTCTTTAGGTATCAGCGTGGACTTGGGAAATGTAGAAAATTTGTGGGGCCAGACTCTCAACAGACAGGACTCAGCAAGGCCATGCTGGGCAGTGGACTCTTTGGAGTCTTGGGGAAGGGAATATGAGTATTTGTCAGAAAGAATGGGCCTAGTATTAGTTAATATTCTTGGGTTACAGGTAACAAAAAGGTGACTGACTCTCTTTACCTTATAAGAAAGGGAATATATTGAAATATAGTCATTGTGATACTGAAAGCCTGGTCAGACGGCTGGGAGCGGGCAGAAAGTGGGGAACACAAATCTTTGTCTCAGAGTTTGCTTTGGAGGAATACAAACTAAAATAATAGGAGAGAGAAATGCTATTGTTCCAAGCTGACACCGTTTCTCACTTTTGGATCAAATAGCTACGGCCAGGCAGGCGGGATCTCTTAGTAGTGAGCTGGCCAGCCTTCGCCCACACTTAGAGATAAGCACAGACTCCAAGCCATGAAGAACGGCTGCGAGCCCCACGCTCACTGCGACGGAGGCCTGAAGGAATTCTCAGTCTGTGAAAACTTACGTGAAAGGAGGCATTGGAGAGGAAAGAAGCTGATGTGGAATAGAAAGGAACTGAATCTCCTCCTTAGCAGAGCTTGTGGGTGTGATGTGTCTCAGATTCACGGGCTTCAGTGTGCTTAGGTTAGTGGTTATCAGACTGAGAAATTTTGATCCAACAAAGTAAATTTTTAAAAATTCGCGCCTAGATATAGGATTGCCAGGCTTTAATTTTGCCACATAGACCATTATAAAGTAAAAAAAAAAAAAATTCCTGTCATTTCAGTTTTAATGAATATTTTGGCCTTTAAAACATAAAAGTGAATGACATGTATAATAGGATAACTTTTTGAGGGATAAATTTGGCTTCATGGAAAACTTATGACATTTTCTTTGTTTCTCACTTTCCTTGTGGCTGGTAAAAATACACTGAGGAATCATCACTTGTTCCATATGGATTTTGGGTATTATACCTCTTCTTCTCAGGGTTATTTCTAATGGTTTTACAGGATAGAAAGAGAAACTCCCTCTGGAGAACAAAAAAGGAGAAAGTGAGGGAATTAGTGGAAGGGATGCGTAGAAACCACACTCCATTTTTCAGGATTATTTTCTCTTCTTCCCTCTACACATCTGCTCTGCATCTCTCTGTTTTCCCATTGCCTTCATCTGTTGACTCATCTTGGACTTGGCCTGATAATTTGCAACCTCCAGGCCTACATATATAGCACTTATTGAGGACTTCCTTCTCAGTGTCTGTTATGGGAGGAACCGTGTCCCTCAAAAAGATATGTTCACATTCTAACCTCCATATCTGTGAATATGACCTTAATTGGTAATAGGGTCTTTGCCGTTGTAACCAAGATGAGGTCATTAGGGTGGTCATCAATCCAGTATGACCGGTGTCCTAAGGGGAGAAGACACAGACACAGACATGCACAGAGGGAAGACAATGTGAGGGTGGAGGCAGAGATTGGAATGTTGCATCTACACATCAGGGAATGCCAGGGATTATTGGCAACACCAGAAGCTAAGAGAAAATCATGGAGCAGATTCTCTCTTTGCGCCTTCAGAAAGAGCATGGCTCTGTCAACACCTTGATTTTGCAATTTTTGTCTCCAGAACTATGACAGAATAAATTTCTATTGTGTTCAGCCACTAAGTTTGTGGTACTTTGTTGCAGGACTCCTAGTAAACTAATTCAGTATCCTGGCTGAATTTGCTGGGAGAAGCTGATTAGCTTCCTTCTGATCATGGGTCGAACCCTGGTCCAGTCAGAAGCCAGCCTAGTGTTCCTCCCAGCCTGGGCAACTAGGTGTGAGACAGTTTGACCTACATGTCTCATACAGGAAAGCTGGCAGGCTAAGAC